TAGAAGATCTACAACAAATAACTCAAATCAACCAAATATAGTTGTAAATAATAATACTTTTAAACCTGAAAATATTACTCCACAACAGGTAGATAAAAATGAATCAGTTGAAATAGATACAAATAAATAAAGTTTGTTTATTTTTTTTATAAAATGACAGTAAACACTGAAATAACCGAATTGATAAATAAAAATAAGAGAAACAAACTATTTACAGATAGAAAGAACATATCTAAACTAGCTAAAAGCATGTTAAACACTACATCTGTTTACACAGCAATATATGTGTTATCAATAATAGAAGATGCAAATAGAGATTACACTAATGAAGATATTGATCAAATATTTAAGACTATCGAATAAAAAACTTTGTTTAGATTTTTGTTTCAAATTTTATTTAAAAAAATAGCTAACCATCAATTTATGAAAGGATATTTAACAAAATTAAAAGGAATACTTCAAGATCTTAAAACTTTAAACAATAAAGGTGTAGAAGATATACCCAATAAGACAGAAAAGTATATAATTGATAATGAAAAAGAATTTGAAAATATCAAACAAAGAATATATGAGTATGAGCAATTAATCTCATTAGTGCAAAACCAAAAGAAAGAATTACAATTAAGTTTAAATGCTGCAGTTAATCAAATCAATGAGATGAAAAGGTGTAACACTAATTTAAGAAATGAGATATTAGATCTAAAAGGAGCTGTGAGGGTGTTCTGTAGAATAAAACCATCTCAAGTTATGAATAAGATAGAATATACTGATGATGAAATAGACTTTGATGGTAAAAATTTTAAGGTTGATAAAGTATTTTCGGAAAAAAGTACACAATTAGAAATATTTAATGAACTTGAGTTATTCATAGAAAATGTGTTGGATGGATATAAAATATGTATATTTGCATATGGACAGACAGGTAGTGGTAAGACATATACAATGGAGGGTTCTGGTGATGGATTAATTTATAATTCTTTGGAGAAGTTAGATAAAAGTATAGAATTGATGAGTAAAGATAAGTTAGTACCAACCTTCAAATTAAAATATTTAGAGATTTATAACGAGACAATAGTAGATCTTTTTACACAAAAGAATGTAACTATTGCACATAATAGTACGAGTATAACATTTAAAGATGCATCTGAAATCATTGCTGATAATGTAACTGAAATAAGAAATAAAATTAAAGAAGCTTCTAATAAGAGAACAGTTGGGGAAACTAAATGTAATTCCAAATCAAGTAGAAGTCATGCTATATTTATATTGGATGTTGAGTTAAAATCACCCACTGAGATTAGAAGTGGAAGTCTTTGTTTGATTGATCTTGCAGGTTCTGAAAGATTGAGAGAAAGTAAAGCTGAAAATGAAAGACTTAAAGAAACTCAAAGTATAAACAAAAGCTTAAGTGCATTAGGTAATGTTTTTAGTGCTATAAAAACATCTGAAAATCACATTCCTTTTAGAAATTCAAAATTAACACATTTAATGCAGAAATATTTGACTGGTCACTCAAGAATGGCAATGATTGTTAATATAAACCCGGAAAGCCTCAATGAGTCTGTCTGTACATTGAGATTTGCAACAAAAGTAAGTGAGTGTAATTTGGGAAAAAGTAAAAAAAGTATAAAAATTATACATAAAGAATAAAAAATTTAATAATCCTCTCCTTTTGAAACAATTTTCTTACCATTTTCAGTCAGGTAAAGTGTGTGTTCAAACTGGGCTACTTTACATACCCTACGGTTTACAGGTCGATCAACTAGTGGTGGATATGCTTCAATGATCTTTCTTGATTCTAATAACTTTACAGTTAGTTTCTCTATCTTATTATTCTTATGTATCAAATGATTAGGACTGAAAGGCAAAGTTTTAATTTCCTTTTTTATTAACTCAAATGCATTTTTAGCTTTCTCATTGTAAATCTTAGGAGTTTTATTTAAATCTTCAACCATGTAATGTGAACACACACCATCATTCTCAATGTATCCTCTTCCAGTAGTGGCAAATGTTTCAACAGCAACAAATCCTTCTTTTACCCGCGAAGGATCATAATTTTTTTCAACCGGAATATGAATACCATCATGAATTTTAAACTGTCCAATTGAATGACCGTTTAAATTTTTAACTGGTTTTATTCTAACACTG